GATGTAGATATGTGGGGGCGTGTTAGAACGAGCTGTTTTAGGTAGGCGTGGCTGACTCTTAACTTTGATAAAGAATATCTCTTTGGATTTGAGACTTTAGTCTTTGCAACTTCAGGGATCTTATCTATTCACGAACAGCTTGTAACACTCCAAAGAGAAAGGAAAACTTGAAATCGCATCATATGACCCCTTTAATCATTTTTTACAGTAAAATGAAAATCAAATATTTTCCTTATCACATAAATGAGTGATTGTAAACCTTAATTGTATTAAAAAGGAAATGTGTGTGTGTGTGTGTGTGTGTGTGTGTGCGTTTTTGTGACAAATGAGGACACAAATTTGTATAATTACAAGGGTATGACATAGGTATTACAAGGAGAAGGTGACTTTTCAGGACATTACCCCATGTCCCCACTTTTCAAAACGCTTATAAATCACCCAGAATGGAGTGTATTGAAAATCTGAAATAGCACAAAGTTTCCTGTGAGGGGATGGTTTAGGTAGGGTTGGTGTAGGGCAATAGAATATACGGTCTGTACAGTAGAAAAACCATTACGCCTATGGGATGTCCCCACTTTTCACAAAAACAAACCTGTGTGTGTGTGTGTGTGTGTGTGTGTATCATTTATTTTTTAATATCATGAAGATTTCTTGGGGTTATACCATTTGACATTTAAAAACGTAAACATTTTATGTCTGAGAGACCACAGATCTGTTTTAATGGCTCAAAAAATAAAAATTGATACTCCAGAATTGTGTCTAATCATATGAGAACTAGGTAAAAACAAAATGTCAAGACGAAATAATAATCAAAGATTATGCCCATTTTTCAGCCTTTTCATGTAATATGTCCTCAAATATATATCAAAATAAATAATTTTAGAGATTTAAAACATGTTCACCACAGATGAATATATTCAACTCATTGTCTGTGAATGTTTAACATTTACAGCATGTGAAAGCATTTGTGAATAAATAAATTAATAGAAAAATGAAATGTCACAGATTGACCCATGTGATTTGTAGCATCTGTGAGAATCTGTTAGTCAATCCTGAGGTCTTTTGGGTGTGGATTGTTTTCAGCACAATGTTCTTAACGGGTCCATTAAAGCAACTCAAGAGGATGTGTGACAAGACGAGAGCTCTGGCAACTGGCATTATGATTGTGAGAGCACACATACATATACAGATATCATAGACTAAAGCACAGAGAGATTCAGTGTTTCATATAATTCACTAATTGGCCTTTTTCCTTTTTCTGTAAATCAAACATTTGTGTTTTTAAAGACATGCCTGGTGCTAACCTTCTGTGCTGCTTTTTGGGTAAGTGGGCTTCTTAATTAGCATGACTGTGTTTTGTTATGCTTATAAAATTGGTGTCATAATGTGTTATGTAACACAGTGTGCAAATTTGGATGTTTATTATGATAAGTAATTGTTTCCATTCCTTATCTTTTTAATTTCTTTGTTTTTGTATTTAGTGGAAGAACAAAGGCCTTGCTCTGCTGTTCTGTATCCTCCAGTTTTTGGCCTTTACATGGTAAGATACCAGCCATAGTTATGTTCTTTTATATATGACCGTATAAATGTTGTAATTGTATATATGGAGTATATTTATAAATACACACAAACATAGATGTGTATATATAAGAATGAGTGAAAGTGAGAACACAAGTGATATAAGACAATAAAAAACCTTGAACTTTGAACCATGCAGTGCTGTAAGTGATATGTTTTCTTTTTAATGGACTGGCATTATTACCTGACCGATATCACTGTAATAGGCATCCTGAAATGTCACACCTGTCTCTGTGATGGCCCAGGGCTTTGTAAAGCTTTCAGAAGTTAATTTGTGCTTTCAGTGGGCCCACATATTTGAAGCAGGAAGCTGCAAGTTGAAGTGGATCTTTGAATTTAAGCGCCAGAATGCTATTTTGCTACTATTGATTTTGTCAGCACTGAGATGATGTTCTTCTCCCTTCTTTCTTGCTCCATCTCTGATTACAGTGGTCTCAGTGGGTGGAGTTTGGAAAGAGGGGATGTGTGTAATACAGTCACTAAGTCTAGCAGAAGTTCCAGAATGGCTCATGTTTCCTACAGCACCTTTAATCCATGTTAAATGAATCTAATATACAATATGAGTTAAATCAACCTTTAAATCCCATAACGAGAAGCTCAAAAAAGATGTTGTTTATTGATGTCTTCAAGAACTTGTAGATGCAAAAGCGCATGAAACTGAGCATGGAAGAGTTATTTCAGCAACAGTTGGGATTTTGACACATGGACAATGTTTGTATTGTGTGTCTACACTGAAGATATTTAACAGACATTCTTATCAAGAAGCTATAAAAATAGGGCAATAGTAGCCCTGCTCTGGTAGCTATAATAAAAAAAAATACAAGTAATGCAGTGAATGCTGCTGTTATTCCATATTAAATTGTAATGACATCTTATTTATGGGCTAAGGTGTGTGTGTGTATGTGTGTGTGTGTTATGGTGACCAAATGTCCCCACAAGGATAGTAAAACCTGCATTTTTCAATGCTATCTCACGACCAATTTGTACATATTTTATGAGGTGGTTCATTCGTACGACCTCGCTCATACAATTTTGTACGTTTTCTGTGATGGGTAGGTTTAGGGGCGGGGTTAGGGGTGGTCATTTGTATGAATTCCTATGAATTTGCCACCTCATGAAATACGTACGTTTTTTCACAAAACATGCTAATTAGAATATGTACAAATTGCTGTGAGATCAGGTTGGAATTTTTTTATATTGTGGGGACATTTTTTGGTCCCCATGAGGAAGGCAGCATATAAATCACACTGGATGGATGGGTGGATGGATGGATGGATGGATGGATGGATTGAAATTGTACAAATGCAAGTTATTCGTGAGGGTTAAGGTTAGGAATGAGTTAGGGATAGAAGATAGAATATACTTGTACAGTAGTAAAATCATTATGTCTATTGAAAGTTCCTATAAAACATAAGAGAGGGAAATATAGCTTACGATTTTTTATTAGTCTCCGTTTAAATTGTATCCCTTTTATTTCACAGGTATAGCTTATCCTACATTCCTTTTGCAAGGTGGGTTTCCTTATATTTTCAAAACCATACATTTAAAAAAATGCTGTTGACACAAATCGACAGTCACTTGAGGAGACAAATCACAAATAAATTAGCTAAGTGATATAGCAAAATAAAACAAAATTGCAGATGTCAAAGACTGTCACTGGACCAATTTACCTAATTATTTTATTGTAGTAGTTGCTGTTTTTGCATTATTATCTATTATACAATATATGCATGTAAAATTGTTAAAATCTGCCATTTCCATTTCGAAATATCAGTTTTGCAATTTAAGTGCATATTGTGTGTAAAACAGCAAATTCACGTAATTGCTTTATAGACTAAAATCAAAACTGTCATTCTGTCACAGCCAAAAAAGACACTTTTAATCATCTGTTTTTTGGCTTTGGCGTTTGTTTACCTTTGGCTGTTTGTTTTTATGTAGGGATGCAATTATTAAGTTGTTCTCCGCGTGCTTCAAGTGAGATGCCTCTACATTTGGCCTTGGCTGTCTCTCTGTGTGCTGCTTTGGCTCCAGCTTCGGTGCTGCCTTCAATGCCACTCATGTACCCACTCTGCAGCCTGGCACAGACACCTCACCACACTACAGGCTCCCCTTACTCTGCCCAACGGATGGACACTCTCCATCTGTGTGAACAAGCACACACAGACAAGTACTCTCTCTCTCACACACACACACACACACACACACACACCTGTGCTTTACATTCAAGTAGGAAAATATGAAGGATGAAAAAATCTGGTTGAGTTTCGGACACTGCCCTATGGTGACATGTTTTGTGCAGCAAGATGGAGCAGCTTATTTTACATTTAACTGCTGTGTAATTGCTTAATTTGTTCCTACGTGCCTTCCTCTCTGCCGTCATCCAAGGATTACTTAAGGACTAGATTGGGTAGAAATGTAACCAGTGTTTGCAGTTTTTTTTTAGTATTTAGGTTTATTTCTTTTTTTTGCTAGAACAAGACAATGATGAAGGGCTTTCTAAATAATTGATCCAATTATATTTTAGTTCAGAAGTTATCTATTATAGGTAAGTAAAAGGATGACAGAAATGTCTTATTACTTATTGTTATCTTATTAGATAAGTCAAATATTAAACACTCATTAGGGTGCCAATGTATATCTTTATGGTCCATTTGTCTTCAAACAACTGTCTTTCTTTGCACTTAGGAGCAAAATGATGTGGCTTTTTCTGATTAATGTTTCACATTTCCTTTTAACTGTATTCATTTCAAAAATGACAGTGGTAGTTTTCCTCCTTGTTGTCTTTTAAAATGTCTGCTAATATATTCACTGCAGAGATTCATTTTATTGATATGTATAAAAATATTTTTCTGACTGAAATATAAGTTCCAGAATTATTTTATCATGACTGAAATTGAAATTTTCCCTACATCATGATGATTAATTGCCCATGTTTGTTTCATTATATAGATTTGCATTATTTCTATGAAAACAATTTATATCTGAGGTGTTTAAGAATTGTTACTGCTACTGTATGGACATTATAACAATCGTTGCTATTAAAAGTTATTCAGATTCATTCAGTCTACGTGAATCAATTTCTCTTCTCTAATTCTAGTTTTACTTACATTTTCATGTGAGTGCATCCTATTGTAAATAAATAAGTACTTACGTACTGTCATTTAAGAAGGCCCGTCCCACAATGCATCTGTGAGTCTCAATAATAAGACTTTTATGAGTTGACTGGTGTGCGTAAGTCATCTCTGCTAGTGAAAGGTCAGGGAGGGTTGGTTTGCTGATGTTTGATATTCCGGAGGATTCTCCGCTAATGAGACTTTTTTTCTCTCGGATTTAAACTCTTTGAATCCTCTAATCTCCATGCACGTGGCTCGGTGATTAGAGCGCCGGTCGCTGGATCGAGTTTCTGTTCATTCTCGCCCGCTGCAGAGAACATCCAGTATTTGATTTCTGCTCCACATGGCTTCCACAATACTAAAGCTCTTTGACAGTATGCCCTTATTTACGCCCTCACATATGAGTCCATCTTGTGAATCACAGTTGATCTTCTGATGCTTCATACCAGTCCGACTTCAGTAAGCCAAATGAGGTTTAAAGCATCACGTATACAAATAACAGCTCCATCGTTAATTTAAAAGGAAATATGTGGATTTAGCCTTGTTGTAGAGTTAAAATGTAAATATATATATATATATAGTGATATTGTGAATGCGCTGATCTCTTTTAAGCTTTAAATATGGGTCAATGACAAATAAGAATGTCCGAAATTGAAAGTTTAAAACTCATGTGCTTAAATGACTTTGCATTCAATTATTGAAAAATAGCCTATTTAATACAGTTTTTACGTAAAATTAAGTATGTCATGACTATGTCAGTATTTCCGTTTGACCCGAGCAAGACGTCCGTTTTAATAAAAGGCACAAATATGTGATAGACTATTTTTGAAAATCTAAAAGATACACATTCAGAAGGGGTGCTATGTGTTCTATGGTTCTATCGTCAGATGACAAAAAAAAAAAGTTTCTTGCGTATTCTAGTTATTTGACAATCATTCAAGATCTTTTAAATAAAACTTTTCTCTCCTGACAGTTTTAAGCCGCAAAGAAAATCCAAATAACTTTTTCAAGAAATTGGAAACATACTAAAGGAGCTGTACTCACGTCTCTCTCTCTTTTTTTTTTTTTAAGTGTTATGTATTTTTAAATAACTACACGCCGTTGATACATTTACAATTTTGATACATTTTACACACACACGCACAAATTACGAGCTGTCCATGGTTCTGAAAAAGCAGAACATCAGAAGTCATTTATATATTTGCAGTAGCCTATATGCATAAAACATGATTTTCCATCATGTTTTTCATTCCTTTGCTTGAGTTAAGGTAGCGTTTATCATACGTTTATTTTTCTCTCTGAAGTGTAATGCCTGTAAGTTTCCTTTGAATTTTCTACCCAGGTTTTTCCTATTATTTAAACAGCATAATATTTCCTAAATATAAATGTGAAGACTGAAAATGAACTTGAATGTAGAACATTAAAGTGGGTTTTGAACTGAAAACAATGGGTTGTGAATGAATCACTTAATTGGAGAAGCCCACGTGACTGCACGTTTATCTTCCTGTCATAAAAACAGGTGGTCGCAGAGAGCTGAAGGTACAGATCCAACATACACACTGCTAGTATACTAAAGAGAGTCGTTTTTCTTTTATGATTGAAGCCGTCCAAAAGTTGTGTTAGGCACAACGTTACGTCTAAATCTTCTCATACATTCTAGAAAGTTTAAATCCAGTTCTTTAGTACTTGTCAAGCGCGTGTGAGATTTGCCCGTTACTCATGAAGGTGGAGGAAGAGCTGAGGAGCGGCGGCGGCGGAGCGGTGACCGGTGCTCGGGGCAGCAACGACTGCTGCATCACCAGACTGCTGAGCGTCGTGGAGAGCGAGTTACAGGCCGGTCGAGAGAAGGGAGACCCCACTGAGAAACAGCTCAAAGTCACCCTGGAAGATTCCGAACTCTGGAGTACATTCAAAGAAGTGACCAATGAGATGATTGTGACCAAGAACGGCAGGTGAGCCACCATGAACCAGATGCCAAAGTTGTAAAAGTCTTGATAAAGCAATGGAATGGTGTTTGTTAATATTAATTATTAATAACATTTGTTTTGCACAGAAGCTGCTAGAAAACAGGTTCGTGACGTTTACTCGAACTTACGGATTTATTTTTCACAAATTACATTCAAATTCTTACATTCAAGTAAATTACAAGTTCTTATTGTTTATACGTTAAAGAACATGTGGTTATAATTATATAGTATTTCATTCGTGTTGTGTCAGAAAATTAGTATAATTAATATAATTAGTATAAAGATTAGTAAAGAAATAAGTATGACATTCGCGTCTTAAAGACAATTTTTAGATAATTTTTGAACACATGTACATAAAATTTCCTCAAAAAAGTATTTGGACACTGAAGTTATGTAGGCTGTGTGTTTGCATTATTTAACAAAATATCAAATCAAGTGACATTTATTTTAAAGCAAGATGATAAACACTTTAAAGCAAAACGTTCCACAAAGGATAGCCTATTTATTAGGTTTTTAAATGATTAAACCATATTTGTACTAGACAAAAAAACACCTGCTTCAATTCGATCTTTCAAAAATGGCTCAGAAAAGTTTGTCATGGGGAAAAAAAGGGGTTGCAGATGCAATGACATTCAAGCATTTTAAATGTTACTTGGGTATCTTAAAACTTTTAGGGCCCAGTGTATAAGCATAAAATTGACTAATATTGTTTCTTGAGAGAATAGAAAAATGTCAATGTGATAGTTTGAATCTAAACTTTAAAAACAATTGTGATAGTCTTAATCCTTATGAAAATGTTTATTAATTTGTCAGTTGTAGTTTTGGTGTTAATTTTATTTTTTATTTTTTTAGAAGTGTTCTCATTAATAAAATCAAACTATGTCCCTGTGGTCCAGTTATCTATCCGTCTTTCTATTAAAATGCCTTGTCATCTCTAGGCAGGTTGATCGTTTTGTGTTGCTGGTATTGGCGCATGGTGGTGTTTTTATGTTTTTTTTTTTGGAACAGGCAGATTAATTTAATTGAAAAGGCTTGTTGTGGTGTTATCGAGCTGAAGGGTGACTTGACCAACTCATTCAGTAGTTACAGGTCAGCTCTGCAGGTGGGTGTCCTTCCATTTGCATCCCCTCTTAAACGTGTTCTCATCCATAAAAAATCATGGGAGAAAAAAGTGGAAAATGACTAGCGTCCAACCTCTCGTGAAGTTCGTGCTTGTAGAGTTTTGGCAGGCAGTGTGAATCGTTGTTGGGGATAACTTTTTAATCATGTATGTGAGTGTGTGAGTTTTTGGACCGATTGAATAAGATTTTGTGTCTTAAAGAGATGTAAAAATGTAAAATCCAGAAATGTAAAATCTTTGATTCTTCTTTATGTGGAAAACAAAAGAAGATGTGTATTGGTCCATGTCAGTTGAGTCCAAAACAACATTGGAAACCTTTGACTTACATTAAAAGAAAATAACAAAAGATGTTTCAAAAGTTTGTTCCTACACTTATAAAATAAGATACTTTGAAAAATGTCGTGTTTTTTGTTTTGTAGAACCATTTTGGGTTCCTCAAAGAACCTTTCAGTGCACCATTTTTAGTGTAACGATCATTGTAATAATCTGAAGAACACTCTTAAATATAAAGGTTCTTTATTGGCATTGATGGTTCCATGAAGAACCTTTAACATCCACAGAACCTTTCTATTCCACGAAAGGTTCTTTTTAGTGGAAAAAAATGTTCTTTAGATTATTAAAATGTTGTTCACACTAAGAAGAAAAAGGTGGTTCTTTTAAGAACTGTTAAGGTTCAAAACGGTTCTTCTGTGGCATCGCTTTGAAAACCCCTTTTGGAAGCTTTATTTTTAAGAATGAAAGAATCTTTTGTGCAATGAACCATCAAAGCCAATTAAGAATCTCTATTTTAAGAGTGTACAACTGGTTCAGAAACACTTTTCACTCAGAAATTCCTAGTAAATTTCACAAATAATTACCAAGAAACTACATGTTGATTTAAATGGGAAATTTTGAAGTAGAAAGACTGAAATAGTAGTTCCTTGTAAACAAACTCCAGTAACCTTCATTTTATTTACAGCTTTGAAAAAGCATTTTTTGGAGATCCAGTAAGCATTCTTCTGTCCTTTGTAGGAGGATGTTTCCAGTTCTGAAAGTCAGCGTGACGGGTCTGGATCCCAACGCCATGTATTCGTTTCTGCTGGACTTCAGCCCTGCAGACGGTCACCGCTGGAAGTACGTGAACGGCGAGTGGGTCCCTGCGGGCAAACCTGAGCCTCACAGTCACAGCTGCGTCTACATCCACCCCGACTCGCCCAACTTCGGTGCCCACTGGATGAAGGCCCCGGTGTCCTTCAACAAAGTCAAACTGACCAACAAACTCAACGGAGGCGGTCAGGTGCTGACACATACAAAGACACACATAAGTTCCCACTGCACTTTCTTCGGCCGATTTCTCATCTAAATCGTTCCCTGTAAAAAGTCTGAGAAAACAAAGGCCCTATGCACATGTAACGCTCGTGTTGTGCAGGTGTGTAATGCCGTGCATGACCCGTTCCGTAATCTTGAGTAGCCTCTCTGGGCTCTTGTGTGTCCAAAACAGGCTTCTGTAGCTTTTAGGAGTCTTGGCCTGCCTTTAATC